AAGTTTTTCCTTCTTCGTCTTCGCTTGTTTGCGAATTACCAAAATTCTCTCTATTTTTCTCTCATAGGAATAACGCTCTAAATCATTTTACGAAGAAGAAGCAAAGGGAGAAATGGGAACAATTATGAGTGGCGCTTTGAAATAAAATCATGCTCCTGCGCACTTAAATCGATGCATGCGTCTATTGCATGTGTCTACATATGGGTGTATAAATATGTGTAATGCGGTTGAAGTATCGACGATTTAAAAACTGCCTACCATCTTCAGTCGTCTTCAGGTGTCCATTACACGTACACCCGCACGTACACTGCCCATCATTGATCTCTTCCCGACAGTTTTAATATTACTTGTCGCAGTTACGTGCACCGACTCATTGCAGACCGATAGCCGACCAAAACATAAATCGATCTGCATGCTGAATATAATGATGTTACACCAATGGATTTACAAAGTTGGAGATTAACAGGGCCTGCAATCGATAATTCTATACACCTTGAAAATTCCTTGTTTATTGATTAGAGATTGCTTTTTGTAGTAACCTATTCATCGGATTTACTGTTGCTTCTTTTTCTTTACCCACCCAGCTATCCACTCGTGTTCACGCTGACTGCAATTTCGACTGGAACGATGATTATGACCCGGAATCTGTAACGTCGACAGAGGCGATGATTACAAAATCCTACTCCCGGACTCGCCGCTACGATTTAGCGCCATGCTTTTGGTGTCGCCCATTGGTATAGAGAATGGATGGCGCATTCCTTGTATGAGTAATGGACGAAATGTCCGCTATTGTGTGAGAAAGATGGAGCGTGATTACGAACATCGATAGTCGTAGTCAGTATCGTCAGTATAGACCCCCTATGATCGTAACTGCTATCTGTCTATTTCTATATAGTGGACACGTTTCTGGCCTCTATGCGCCATCCACTCTCTATGTCGGAGGATTAAACTAATTAGAATTTATGCTGTGGAAACGTCATAACTGGTTTGAACTACCCTAAAATTTAGTGAAATTACTAATCAGAAAACGTTACAAGGGCTGAATGCTCTTTGACCAATAGGATCACGGAAATTATTTTAAGCTGTGAAGCTATTGGTCAAGTTGCTTCTGCGTCGTGTGGGAACAGCACTTGTGAACTCGGCGTCAAAGCTATTTGGCTGGAATCACGGCCGATGTTATACGTGAGCCAAAAACGATGGATTCTCGGTTCTAGATAAGATTAAAAAGTGTGGATCGTTCCTATAGCGCGTACAGTGTCACAAGCAAGTCGTTTTCCGAAAATTCGAAATCTAATCAATGTCCGGCTTCGAAGAGAATCCCTTCGGGGAGCCAGCACTAAATGATCCCTTCGCCGTGAGTAATTCCTTGAATCTAAGGACTTGACGAAATATTTTCAAAAAGAGTATCATCACTCGGAATGGTTGCTGTATGTGACTACTTGTCAAAATTTGTCAAAATATCATCGACGTGAATCATTCTCACACGACACAATTTACATACATTTCTGCATTACGTACACATACTGGGCTATTTATGTCGTATAATCAATAGATATATTAATTAAACGGTTCGTTGTGCTTTTGGCTTGTCACATTCTTATCAATTTATTAAAAAAAAAAATTGAAAACTGTATTCTTTGGATATAGGATCCTGCTATTAGAAGGGCAGCCACATCCACACCAGCCAGCAGAGGTATAGAGGATTATAATCCATTTGCTGAACAAGGATCGCAAGGAACAGCACAAGTTCGAGGTGCTGCTAATCCACCAATCTATGGAGGCGTGGGAGCTACTCAACAGCCAGCAACTCTTCAGCCTACTAATCAAGAACCGCCACCACCACCAATATATGCACGCAGTGCACAGCAAACTGTTCCACCTACTGTAGGGAGCACGCCTTCTTCCAGTATTGATGTATGTCTTATCATTGTCATGTATATTGTACATATCATTTATATGTATATTGTACATAAAAATTATTGGGTTATAATTTTTAATAGCGACAGGAAGAAGAATGGAAAGCAAGGAGAGATGAGGAAATGAGAAATACACCTTATTATGGTAAGTTCTCATTTTAATTGTCCTTTATATATAGAGAAAAAATAATACAATTTTTTATATTTTTAGCAAGACGAAACAATTGGCCACCCCTACCAGAAAAGTGCTGCTTCCAGCCATGTTTCTATCAAGATATTGATGTTGACATACCAGCTGATTTTCAAAAGATCGTTAGGCAACTATATTATCTGTGGATGTGTATGTTTGTTTTTAAACAAAGTTTTGTTGTTATTTCATTCACATCAATTTATGTAATGATGATGTTATTTCAGTTCATGGTTGCGTAATGGTGATGAATGTCGTTGGCGGATTTGCATTGATGCTTCATGGCAAGGACTTTTCAACATTTGGATTCGCTATCCTTTATCTTATACTCTTCACTCCATTCTCTTTTCTCTGTTGGTTTAGACCGGCATACAAGGCGTTTAGGTACTCAAGTTAATAACGATGCTACTCGATTATATAGCATATTGTGGAACTTGGAAATTTTCAATTTCAGGAGCGACAGTTCCTTCAACTTTATGGTCTTTTTCTTCGTTTTCTTTTTCCAACTAATCGTTACGGTTATTCAGACGATAGGCATTCCCGGCTCCGGCACTTGGTACTATAATTACTGTACAATAGCCCTGGATATGCAAATACAGTACTCGAAATTATTAACGTCATTTAATTCCAGCGGAATAATAACTGCAATCGCAGCATTCGGATCATCAGCAGGAGACATTATTGTTGGAATTCTTCTTCTGTTGATTGCACTCGGCTATGGTATTGCTGCTGCTGGGGATCTTCTACTCTTGTCGAAGGTAATTCTGATTTCACTTAGCAAAGAGTTATTATTTTCTTGATGGAAGTTCTTGAAAAGCAAATATTACGCGTTCATCGGTGTTCCTTTCAGATTCATCGTATCTACCGCAGCACGGATGCGAGCGTTACGAAAGCGCAACAGGAATTCGCAACGACTTTCCTTCGTAACGAGCACGTACAGAATGCAGCAAGTAACGTCGCAGCGAATGCTGTCATCGCCCAGATGTCCAATACTAACCAACCTCGTTATTAACTAATCAATATTATCAGTTCCATGATAGTTCTACCGCTTAGGTATGAATTTTATCTAACCTTTAATTCGCGCAGCGGATTGAATGGATGTTTTTGGATAATTGGCGCAGGTCTAACGATATGCTTACGAACAGCACTTGGATAATTGAGTACGAAGAACTAGTGGCGGTCGAGTGACATCGGAGGTTTACGATGTGGTTCAATCGCTCTGATATTCACTTTTTCAGTACAGTGATAGTATTCGAAAATTAATTATTATACTGGAAGTAAGATATAATCACCATGTTTCGCATATAAGTCCATTCAAATTGAGATAGATTTTTTTTCATGCTTGTAACGCGTATCGAACAGCTCTTGGGAAAATTTTCATCATATGCAGTGTTTTTGAAATGACATTGCGCATGCGAATTACTTAAACGATACTTTGTACTTCGTTCTCGCGTGGACTACTGTTTGGATTGATGCGAGAGTACACGACTATAATATGGTCGCGTATGCTGCTACGGCTTAGGTAAACTATTTTCTTTTCGACTTGTAGCCGTACAGTACGCGTGTATTGACAATTCACTTGCATAGGATTTATAACGTGTTTTGTCTTACTTGAACGACGATGTGCACATATACATGACCACTTAGTCGTACATGGTCGCCATCAATGTAAGTGTACTCCTTAGAATTAACCCAGTACTGTTATCATGAAAAATTGGCAAGAAGTCGATAGTGATTTCGAACTACAAAAAAGAACTATCGCGTAAAAAAAAGTCCACTCAACGCGGAGAGACTGAAAGCCATGTATAGAAAAGATGAGTAAATACGGCTATATATTTATTGTTCTAGAATTTCTTTAGAGGATAATCGAGAGAAATGAAGATCATGTATCATTAGCGGACCATTTTTTCGCTTTTTATTTTCATTTATACTTTCTTCGGTCATATTGTTCACTCTTTTTTTTTTTCATTCAAAAACGGTATAATTTATATCGTCCCTACTAGAACATATATTCTCAGTAGGAAAAACGACAAGGCTTACTACTGACTAACACGAAGAAAAATTATGCAACAAAGGATCACTTGATATTTTTGAAGAATAAATGTTTCTTTTCCCAAATATCGTGCATAACAAACATAACAGTTTAATATTACATATAGTCGATTAGTTCATCTAGCTCGAGTTGATGCAGAATTGCCGCACCTGTAAATTATAATATCTGCTAGATACTTGAGATTATCTACATTTATAAAGAATTTTTATTTAATAGACTCTTATCCACCTTCGTCAAGATAACTTGATCTTGGGTTTCGTGGAAATGGACAGCCTATATTATCCTTGGTAGTAACTGTAGTACCGATAAGTTGAGCAGCGACAAGAGCATCCATTACGTTAACTTCATTTCGAAACATGAGTCTTGCATGACCCTCAGCCAATCTAAAATGCATGAAAAAAGACATCAAACGTGTTCATACCTATACATTTTATGTACTTAATATGCGCATTACCTTATAAGACTGTCCAACAATCGAACGGTTGTTCTTTCTGCTCTTCTGTATGGATTTGATCTATGATGAAGATAAACAGCACTCACTATCTTTGCAGCCTGCTCACTTAAAATTGGCTTGAGCGTATGAACGTATGCCAAGTATTTCCGTAAACTTTCTTCTTTCCACAAACCGTCAGTCTTTAAAAGATTCGCATGTGACACATCTCTGTAAATGAAATAACGTTTGATTACACTGTACATTGCTTAAGAATGCAACAATTAATAATCTTTTGAATTTACATTTTACTCTGATGCTGCTCCAGAGACTCAGGAGACTCGCAAGCAAGTTTTAGAATGTGATCAGAAGTAATACGGTCCCATTCTGGATTCTTATTGTCCTTCAATATCAGGATTAGATCAAATCGTGATAGGAGAGGGTTACCAAGAGTGGTCTTGTATTCCTCGTCATCGAGGAATCGACCTCCGCTGGGATTAATCGCAGCTACCACAGTGCAACGTGAATTCAAGGTACTGACAATACCGGCTTTGGCTACAGAGATCGTTTGCTGTTCCATCGCTTCGTGAACGGAGGCACGATCATGAGATCGCATTGTCGCGAATTCATCGACGCAGCAGACCCCGCCGTCCGCTAAAACCAAGGCACCGCCCTCGAGATGCCAACCATCTCCGTCCTTCACCGCGGCTGCTGTTAATCCAGCTGCTGTAGTACCAATCCCCGTGGTCAACACAGATCGCAATGCTAAACGGGATGCGGCACGAAGCAACTGAGATTTTCCTGTTCCTGGGTCCCCAATCATCAGAAGGTGTGGTTCTCCTCTGACTCTTGTTCCCGATTCATTTGTTTTTGATACTCCTCCAGCCAAAACGACTGCCATTGCCAATTTAACCGTATATAAACCATAGATCTTAAAGTAGCAATAACATTACTAAATACACGAGGAATATGATATATTATTTTCTTTGTGTTGAGTATAACAAGTACTATTCCTACTTGGGGACAAATAGAAGCGAGTAATTGATTTCTGCCCACTAGTGGATCATCACTGTAAGTCTTCCAGTAATTTGTAAAGATTTCTCGCGTTTCTTCTGTTGAGAAGGTAGACTCTAATAGCTTACGTTGTACGGAAACGCTATTTGCTATCATGACAGTAGTTGCTTCTGATCTCGTACCAGCTGTTAAATGAGGCCATCGCCTTATTACCATGCCACTGTGGGATATAAGTTTAATATAGCAGCCATAATTGATAGGCAATGCACCTAAATACAATAAAACCAAACTAACCATACATCCACATGGTCACCAGGTCTGCATTTGTCAATTAAATCATCTAACAATATTATTTGCATCCCGACTGTGTAACTACTGCTTTCATCCAACTGACATTTTTCCTATTCAACCAAAACCAAGAGTATTCCCAAAACTATCAGGTTATTATAAAATAAAGAACCTACTTGAATTTTTATTTCCTGATAATCTGCACAATCTCTTAGATGAAGTGCAGTCACATGAGTAATATTCTTGGCATGACAAGCTGAGCATTCCTTGGTATCTGGGAATATTTGCCTTTCCCATTCCAACTATTTAAACAAATCTCAATTCAGCGTTTCAAATAATTTTTTCTATCACTATACAATACAATGTAAGTAAAAAGATAACTACTTTCACTGTAGTGATGTGTTTGCATTTACGACATTCATAATGTTTGAGCAGTTTTATAACTGTCGGCTGAGAAGTTCTTACAGTGATACCTGCAGTGAAGACTAATTCTCCAATTTGACCTTGATCCACTCGTTGGGGAACAGAAGATATTCTTGTATGTATCTACAAAAGCACCAATCATATGATATATATGAAGGTACGTTGGAAAAAACTTGAACAATTATGTCATTACTCGTCTCTTAATGGTCTGTCCTTCTGCAAGCACATTTTCTTGTGCCGTGATAGCATCTTCATCACATTGAGGTAAATAGATCCTAGGTCGACGTAGAACTTTATTGGCAATTTCACAGTCAGCTTCATACAGGGATACAAAGCTGCAAGCAGTTATATTTTAAGAAAATACAAAGGTTGTGTATTGGTTCATTAAGATAATCCATACTTTAAAAAAGAGAATATTTACTCGATATTTATCGAATAACAAGACGGCTCATCTTGGGCATCCAATATTCGTCTCAAATCCTCTGAATGGTATTTTAAAAAATAATCAACTAACATGTTGTGAAATTAGCGAATTTCATTAACACGCATTTCAGATAGTACACTGTAATTGACTAACGCTTGACAAGTGTTGACCTCTACTTTGACTAGAAGACATTTTATACAGGTAATACAATTTTTAAGAAAGCAGAACATTTTGTATTTAATATGTATCAAATTTATAAGCATATCATGATTGAGGTATAATATGGTACAACACGACCGTGGGAAAACAGATTTCGCCCCATCTGGTATCATATTTTAGAAAGTTCAACTTAGCAAGGAGGATCTTTTGCTCACGCGGTTAAAAGTGCTTGGCAATCAGAATCTATACAGGATCGTACAGATAGCGCCACCATGTTTAAGTAACATTCAAAATAAAATGTGAAAGAGGCAGACTTAAGGAGAAAAAAAGAGAGGACAGAAGGACGAAAGTTCAGAGACATTGTTGCTGTCACCAATCGTACTGGTTCCCACGGCTGCACGTTCGTCTCTTTCGGTGAGAAAGTGAACATTCCCTCCCGATTACTTTGCAACAAACCACATTGGCAGCGCAGCCATTAATCAATTCCCCGTTCCACGAAATGCGATGGGTCTTGTCTCCTAATTCTGTTTGGTGGTTTCGCGCGAAACTCTGTGGTAAAAGTTACGCGGATACACTGGAATCCTTTTGTGCTCTCTCGTTCGGACGCGACGTGAATGGGTGTCAATGAAAATCCGTCAACGATAGATCGTTGCCCAGACGAGAATTCCCTATCTTTGGATTGCTGAACACTGACAAATCGCAAAGTGAACATTCGTGTATAATTGTTAAAGGTGTAATAGACTCACGTACGAGAATGGGCGAATAACAGAGTTATAGGGAGAGTGAGAGGAGAAGTGGTGAGTCTCTTTGTCATGTCAATATCTGTTAAAAGATGTAATTCTTACAATTAGTCAGAATGTGTCCGGACAGCAAAATCACTATTTACGATTTTCTAATCGAAAGGAGCAAATATTCCTAGGGATTATTTCTTGTAGACTATTATTTATTATTCTTACTTAGGCTTGCAATGCTTGGAAGGATCAGGGTATACTTTTGAGCTCTTTGAATGCTGGGGTTTCGAGGAAAATAAATCAAAAACTCGTAAAGCGAACGTTCCCGCAGGACGTGGTGCGCTCCCTGCGTCACGTGCAGGATTAATATCGTTGTGTTAATAATGCTTCTTCTTGGTATTCAGAACAAAAAATCAGAACGCCAGAGTGAAGTTTTTAGCTGTTACGTGATACGTAAAAAATATCTATTCCATGTCATACACTAAGCACTACGTTGACAGTATGTTAACCTATTCTTTGTTTTTTGTGCTACCTCTGCATTCCCTGTATGTTGTGTATTGCAGGAATCTATTACCTATTCCAACGTAAGAGGTAAGACATTAATTATCCGTTGGTCCTGGTTGCCTAGCGGAAACAATGCAATTAGCGTTAGTACGCGTAGCGGGGATATATTCAAGGGGGTAATTGGCCGCCCTGTGTACGATCAAAACTTAGCCCGTTCGTTCCATTCGGGCTAACGCGACAAGCCACGTCCTCCTACGCTGTCCGACAACTCCTCTTCGCGATGCCAGCTAGCTGCCTGCTCTTTCTCGAAAATTAGGCAATCTCCAGAGGGAAAACGGAGGGAAGCGAGGTAATATAATCTAAGAATGACACCAATAATTCAACTAATATTCGCGGCAGCGTCAACAACAGATTCTTCATCGAAAGTCCCCCTTTAGCTGGTGCATTGCATATTGTAAACAAGTGATAAAACGTCGTGAACTCGAGCGATTAGTGGCCAGTGGCAAACAAGCGAACAGCCCGATTGGGCATTGGACCGACGGCGATGCTTCTTATAGCGAAACCAGTGAAGCTTTAATTAAGAGGTCGTCGAAGGCCTGTGATAAATCGTTTGGAAAAAGAGCCACAGGCTGGCAGCTTTCATCAATCTACAGGAACATGTTCCTCTTTTTGTATCCTTATGAGAGAATACTACCATTGGCACAATACATAAACATAACCAGGAGGATAAAGTATGTTATCCGTCTGGATAAGGTAACTCCCATGGCTTAGTAGTAACAGGTCCAGCCGTTAATCACTCTGTGAAATATAATTTAATACTTGGTGACCAGGGTCCGACCACTAAAAATGAGGAACAGCTGGTAAACACGCGGACAGCCGCGGTCGCCACAGTGCAATAACAGGATAAAGGGTTGCTGTCCCTTCGACCTCTCCACCTGATTGTCAGTGGATCCCCCGAGACTACAGGATGAATTCTGTTTTCGGGAATCCTCGAGAATAGAAGGAACTCTTGGGCAGGGGAGCAGAAAAATGGGCTGAAGTATGAGTGGAAGGAGAATGGGGGAGCTTCCGGTTTGGTGGACGTGTCGGTGTAGGATAAAGCCCGAAACTCTCTCTCTCTCTCTCTCTCTCTCTCTCTCTCTCTCTCCCTCTCTCAC